CACGCGGGTCTTGGCTTCCAGCTCTAAGCAGCATTCGAACCCCCGCCCCGCCCCACCCTGCCCTATTAGCTGGCAGGCGTTTTCCCTTCCTTTCTTCTTCGGCATCCTCCACCCCAGCGCTGCTCCAGGACCGTCGACCCTTCCTGTTAGCCCCGGATGGGCGTCTCTGTCCTTCGGTCCCCGCAGGATTGTTTTGGGCCCAGCCGAGCTGGTGCACGAATGGCCGCAGCAGGTCGATCCCTTTCATCCTGCGACGCGTGCCAATTTTCCCGGTGCCAAATGCGTGCAAAAGGGTGCCAGCGTGGAACGATCCTGGGCTGCTTTGGTTCAGAAAATCCTGCTCCTGTTCATGCCCGCATCTCTTTTGACGTATCCGCTCCGAGCCTTCCTTGCATGTAGAAAGCTAGTTCTTCAGGGGCAGCAGGATCAGGGACCTTTCTCTCTGGCGCTTGACTTTCTGTGTTCGTGGAGTTATTGTTTCACGTGGTCTGATCCCTAAAAGGCCAGGGATCCACTCCTGGACTTCGGAGCAAAGCAGGCCATTGCTCGTTGTGATGTTGTGAACGTTGTCAGCAACGGCTGGCCATCCATCTTGTTCCTTCTCGTCTAAATAGCAGCAGCATCTTCAGATCTCAAGACGGGGTGGGGAGGGGGCTTGATTCTGAAATCTGGGAGCTGCGCAAGTGAAAAGATATCAGCAGACCTGAACTGTAGACATCTGTATTTTTCTTTTAATTCTCAATTAGCACCACTTTGGCAATACGTGCCCACATTTTCTCCCAGTCCCCCTTTAGTGTGCAAAAGTGAATCCTTGTGGAATACACCCCCTTTCCTTCATGCAACTCTCTCCATGCTTCCAAGAATAAAAGATTAAAATCACCCTCCCCCCAAATAAATGTAATATTTATTACAGCCCTCAAAAAAACAAACCCCAAATAGCAAAATTCAGATACAACCAAATGGTTTACCTACTTTTTAAAAAAAAAATTAATTTACTAAATTTACAGGCCGCCCATCTCATATAGTTGACTCCGGGCAGCTCACAAAGAAAACAGAATAAAAATGGTAAAAAACCGACCAAAGTTAAAAACGACGAAGCCTTAGCCTAAGAGAAAACAGTCTGAGAGTTCACATAAATTGACTGGCGTTATGGGAAACTTTTAAAAACTCAAACGTATTGATCTTTTGTTTCAATAGTTAACCCCCTGCTTGTCACCGGTGTAATTTTAGGATTTCTGTCTGAGGGGAGAATTTTAGCAACTTTAGAGAGATCTCTTCCGGGCTTCAATCCTAAAACAGGCCAGATTATATCCCGCCCCAAACTCACAACGGAATTAAAAAAAAAAGAGGATCCAAGTTTCAAGGGCAACCCCATTACAGGGGCAATTTCCCTCTTTGAGAGATGGGACTCTCTTGAAATTTACCGTCCATTTGATAACTTCCCTGTCCATCCAGCTTTAGAAAAATAAACTCTTCTATATTTACAAAGAACTGTCGATCTGCTCTCAGGTGGCCTATGAGAGCCAGGCCGAGGAACCCAACCCTCTTTCGCTGGAGAGGCGCAGAAAAAGCCCGGCGGAGTCAGGACCCAAATTCCTTTCTTTTTCAGAAAAAGCCCCTCGTGGATCGGATTGGACGCTGGTGTCCCTTTCTGAAGCGGTGTCTGCTCCGGCGATGCATTCTTTGCAACCGGCCCGAATCCCGCAATTCTCGCACGTGCCCGAACGCCGACTGCGAGACCGTCTATTGCCGACTGTGCTGGCAAGACATGGGCAAGACGTGTTATGCCTGCAACCCCGACGATCTGCTTTCTGAGGATGACAGCAGTGAAGGAGGGACGGGCTATGCCGATTAAAGAGGCTCACGGTGGCATTTTCCCTGGCTTCCATGTTAGATGCAGGCTGGTTTTTTTCATTTCGGTATAGAGGGTCCCTGCTTAGTGCCTGCCTTGGACAGCGACCGTTCATAGTTACGACGGGGATGAAAAAGTAACGTGGCGACCAATCCTCACATTTACGACCTTCGCAGGTCTGTCTCAGACTTACGAGGTAAACCAGACAGGAAACACAACCAGATAAACTAATGCTACTTTATTGTAAAGCTACATCGACAGGATCTTGCAAGTCTGAAAGTACAAATCTCCCATTATCTCCTTTACAGCCCGAGAAACTAGGGAGGGTCCCTTCTGAGTCTCTTTCTCCATCCATTATGCGGCTGAGGGCTAAGCCGTCTCTTATCCGGCCGTTCCCTTGGCAGCATCTTTTTGCCCCATATCTCAAGGCCTTTCCCACACACCATTACAGTCTGTAAAGCAAACAAAAGCTAAAGTAAAATTGTAAGCAGAGTCATGGTTTCACTTAGCGACCGCTTTGCTTAACAACCGAGTTGCCAGTCCTCGTTGTGGCCGCTAAACGAGGACAACCTGTATGTATTCAAGAGGTTATACACAAAGGCGCACAGATCACACAATCTGGAGGTTTGGGGCAGTGTAGAAGGGGGTCTCCAAATGGCCACAATAAAATAAAATTGAAATTAAATTGCGAGGCTCTTAGGCAGCTAGGTGTCAAGTGCCTTTTTAAAGAAGAAAGTGTTTACCATCTTCTCGAGTTGCAGAAACCAGCGAGTCAGGCCTACCACTGGGGATTACCTACCCATACAAGAAGCCAGCCGTCTGCAGCTAAAGGGATTTTGTTCTCCATGGTTTCAATCAGAGCTCAGGGACGGGGTGATAAAAATTCCGAAAATCTCTCTGCGATTGAACAAGAGCATGGTTTGGGTGGCAGATGCGACCCAGGGCTTTGGGATATTTATTGTAAGGGCAAAGACATTTCTTGTGGCCAAAGCACGATCCTCCAAAGCTTATGATCCGTGCCTTCATTTTCAGAATAAGCCCAAGATTTATTTCCTCCAAGGACAGGCTGATTCAGGCGAAGAAAGGGGAGGATCTGGCTTCTCATTTGCTGGAGATACTTCAGGAGAAGTTAAGAGGCCTTCCAGCTGTGATCGCAAACACTTCTGTCTAGCCAAGGGTGGGTCTGAATGGTTTCAAAGTGCAACACCCAGCCGTAAAAGCCGTTTCTCTTTGACTAGAAGGGAAACTGACATTCTCGGCTGCCATCCATTCTTCTCCAGACCGGAACGAAACCACGCTACCAAACAAAGCCGACCTATCTGCTGGATTTGCCCAAACCTGGTTGAGTCAAAACTAGACGAGCGAGTGTCCACCTTGGTTAGTTGGAGGAACGGCACCTTAGCCCTCCCTGGATGAGGCCGCAGGAGGCAAACCAGAACCCAGGCTGAAATCCCGGGGCACAAACACGGCTAGTCATTCACACCCCGGCTCCGTTGGGCAGAGGTCAAATTTCAGAGGCTTTGCCCCCCGGTCTTCAACCAACCTTGGGCTTGGAATATTCCCACCGTGCCAACAGGCCAAAGGCAGGATTATTGGCAGCCCGTTTTTCCCCTCCCCAAAAGCACCTCTTTCAAAAAAAATGTAAAAAGCATTTACAAGAAAGGGGGCACTTTCTAGGCTTGAGGGGGGCCAAACCCCACCCCACAGCCGGGGGCTTCTGGGAACCCTTCTTTTCAATCTCCTCCAGCGAAAGAACAACGAAGGCCTCTGCGTTTCCTTGATCCAAGGGAACCCAGATCCTTGAGCAGTGTGTCTCAACCTTGGCAACGTGAAGATGGGTGGACTTCAACTCCCAGAATTCCCCAGCCAGCCATGCTGATGGGGATGATGAAGACTGTAACAGGAACTGGATAACGATGGCCTGGGTGGAAAACCCTTCTTGTGTTCCTTAAGATTTGGCCTAAATCTCAGGAGTTGAGGCAGTGGTGAAATCTAGACTTGTTTCTCCACCTTGCTACGGGGAGATGTGTGGACTTCAACTCCCAGACTTCCCCAGCCAGCATGGGGAATTCTGGGAGCTGAAGTCCACAAGTCTTAAAGTTGCCTAGCTTGAGATACCCTGTCCTTGAGGGTCGCTCGGACGTTGCCTGGCCAGGATCCCCGCGGGAGGCTGTCCGAGAGGTCTGGGCCGGGAGCGCACCAAGGGCGCAGCGCAGGACCAGTGCCAACCGTTCCTCCCCTTCCTTGCCCCGGGCCCGGCTTCCCAGTCGCGCCCTCCTGCCAGCAGGGCAGGGAACCCCCGGCACCCCCTCCCACTCCGCCGCC